CATTACTCATTCCGACAATAGAAATGTCAAAGCTGCCAACTTGACATTCGCGCTGAGTGGCAGGCGTGTTGGGGACGCAATTAACTCCATTCGCGTTGCTTCTACAGCAAGGAACATCGTTTGAGTCACAATAACCGCAGTCGCAGGCGATACACACCATCACGTCTGATCCTGAGGCATCTTCCGCTGTCTGACATCCGGTCCCGTCTGGACACGCGTCACAAGCGTCTGTGGAACAACCACACGCCCCGTCAAATGTGATGAACTCTCCGGGAGGACAATCCGGGCAAGACGATGTCGTCGTCGTAGTGGTAGTGGTAGTCGACTCTGTTGTTGTCGTCGTCGTCGGCGTCGTGGTAGTCGTTGTCGACTCTGTGGTCGTCGTCGTCGTCGGCGTCGTGGTAGTCGTTGTCGACTCTGTTGTTGTCGTCGTCGTCGGCGTCGTGGTAGTCGTTGTCGACTCTGTGGTCGTCGTCGTCGTCGGCGTCGTGGTAGTCGTTGTCGACTCTGTGTTCGTCGTCGTCGTCGGCGTCGTGGTAGTCGTTGTCGACTCTGTGTTCGTCGTCGTCGGCGTCGTGGTAGTAGTAGTCGTGGGCGGACTTGTCGTCACATCATCTCGAGTGCAAATGTATCCATGCTTCACTTCTCCACGAGAGCGCATGCACTTTCTAACTTCGCAAATCGACAGGAGCTTTCTGCACTGCCTCCGCGCACTGCGACGGGAACCACACTGCTCCGGACAGACTTTTGGTCTCGGGGTCGGGATAACTACTTTTGGCACACACTTCACACCAGGGCGAGAACGACCTCGAACAGTCCGAGTACACGACACAAGCACACAATGGCTACGGTAAATGGACTGCTTGCATTGTCGGGTACCTCTACGTTGACTAAGACACTTCGAGGGGCAAGAGTGCTTCGGCAGAGGCGGAGGCGGGGGCGCGACAACCTTCGGAGAACAACGCTTCCTACGCCTCCCTTTGCTGAGGCGGCAATCATTCAGTGTGCAGGATGATTTTAAACGGCACTCCTTTCGAGCTGCTGAGGTTGAAACACACCTGTCCGAGCAATGGTCGTGATGAACCAGGCGAACAAAAGTACCGTCGATGAGGGCGACAACGATCAAAGTTAATGTCATACAGATGAGGAACTTCATGCTGGCCTTCACTCAGCTAAACTCTGATACCTTTTTCCAGATGGGATCAAAGAGTGGATAAGCGGTAAAATAGCGGAGGGACCTGCTGTTTATATGCTGCTTTTCAAGTTTCCGTTGCACTTGGTCCCAACTTCGAAACGCTGCAAACACGCATTCTCGCCATTTAATAGATCCGTATCGGACAGACGTGGGATGACCCTGTATCTAGCTGCCAAGTTAGGCATCCCAGATGGATACAGTAATCCCCGGTACAAGAATGTCACTTTAAGATAATACAATAATGTTGTACAGGGGCTGGGCGACTCCTGCAATTCTAAAATCGCAAAATGTGTTGACCAAATTGGGATTTTGTGACACGCAAACGGCGCGTTGTGCACACACAACGCGCCGTTTTCTCGGACGGGCGACCCCTTGCTAGGTTAAATGTGTACCTTGCTAGGTTAAATGTGTATCGCACAAATATCAAAATGTGCGCGCGTACAATCTAAATTTACTGTACACAGAGAAAGCATCGGCCGGGCG